TTCATGGGACTCATCAGACAGCTGGGGGTGGGGGTGGGGCGAGTGAAATAGAAGTGATAGAGGCTACCTGGTCCCTGTAGGACCAGTCTTTGGTACAGAGAGGAAAGCTCACTATTCAACTTGCAGATGAGGACCATCATAATGGCCTAGTGTGGGAAGCTATGATGAGCAGAAATCTGCTGCATCTGAGCTGTTTGAATTGGGAAGGACTTGTAGACAGGGAATGAAAGCGCCTTCCCAGCCAGCTGGCTTGCGAGTCCATGGGACAGCCGGTGAATGAGAGTAGTCCCAGTGCCGTGGGAGCAGAGAAAATAACTGATGTAACTACCCAGCCCCCTTTAGACAGAGGCTGAGTTATCAGAGATTAGTCTCTGATGGACTGGTTCTCAAGAGCCATTCGCTGAGATCCCCATGCAGCAAAGGACAGGTAGGCATCACTGAGAGGACTTGGTATGGAAGACCACTATTTCAGAAAGAAGGTAAACCAGCAGGGGTCTTAGAACTACGGCTTTAGCGGCTTTCCTGAGCTCCGTGGTGGAATTTGATTTGCTACAATGTAGAATAGGCTTTGACAGATCTGAACAATTCAAACTGGCATGTAAGCCGGGTTTAAAAGGTTGAGTCACCAGGAAGATATGAACAAAAAGGCAAAGCAAACAATGAGGCCTGCCTGGGTAACTTGGAAGAAAATGTGAGATTTGTGTTGAGCCTGGGGAGGGGGTGGGGATAATAGAAAGCTAAATGCTACTCAGGCAAGCCTCTGGCAAGGGTGGGGTTTTAAACCTTGAGTAATTCATCACCAAAGGTGTGTGTGTGTGTGTGTATGTGTGTGTGTGTGTGTGTGTGTGTGTGTGTGTGAGTGTGTGTAGCTAACGGGGCTAGGGGGATGTCTCAGAGCACTGGCTGCTCTTCCAGAGGACCTGTATTTAATCCCCAGCACTTACATTCGGGCTCACAACCTCTTTAGCACCAGTCCCAGGGCATGTAATGCCCTCTTCCAGCTTCTCTGGGCATCAGGTACACATTCGGTGCAGACATACATGCTGACAAAAATGTCCACAAATAATTATAAATTAATTAAAATAAATTTTAGAAAAAGACTTAGTGAATGACAGAATGGCCCATGTAAAAGGATTAAGCTCGCCTCGGAGTTCTGCTGTGTTTGTTTATCCCCTGCAATAAGGGGTGAAGGTTTGCTCGGCCTCTTCAGGAACCAGATGTGGTTGATGGAGAAGGAACAGTTATGGTACCAACTGAGAACCTGACAGGCATGGGGGACTCCCCAGCGGCAGGCTAGAACGTGGGCTTGAATGCTCTGGCTCTGGGCTGGGCCAAGCAGTGTAAGACACCGCTGCTGGAATCACTAGGTGTAGGTGGATGCACAGTGGCTCCGCAGCAGGGCCCCAGCGTGAGGAGATGACAGGACTCATAGAAAGTTACGGTAGATTATTGTGGTGGTTTAAATAAGAACGGCTCCCCGCAGGCTTATCTAGGTAATGGTTAGTCTTCAGGGAGTGGTACTGCTTGAGAAGGATTAGGAGGCGTGGCCTTGTGGGAGCAGGTATGGCAATGGTTGGAGGAAGTGTGTCACTGGGGGTAGGCCAAGCCAGGCCCAGTCTCTATTTTCCTGTTGGCTTTGGATCCAGATGTAGAACTCTCAGCTACTTCTTCAGCACCACGTCTGCCTGCTTTCCCACTATGTTGATGATGGACTATACTTCTGAAACTATAAGCAAGCCCCAATTAAATGCTTCTTTTTTTTTTTAAAAAAAGCGTTTCAGTCTCTTTTTTTTTTCAGTTAAAAAATTATTTATTTATTATTTATTACAATTTATTCACTTTGTATCCATGCTGTAGCCCCTTCCCTTTTCTTCTCCCAGTCCCACCCTCCTTCCCTCTTCTGCCCCTATGCCCCTCCTCTAGTCCACTGATAGGGGAGGAAGACCTCCCCTTATATCTGACCCTAGCCTTCTTTTATAAGAGTGCTGTGGTCATGGTGTGTCTTTGCAGCACTAGGACAGTGACTAAGACAGTCATGGAAAGCTAGATGAGAAAGTGTCCTCCATCATATTGCTGTACCCAACACTGCTCCCTGACAGGACGACTGATGTCAGTGGTGGCATCTTTCACACGGCATTGGAGCCTTCTAATGTTTTATTTTAACTGTGCCCTTGGCTGCTGACTCTCAAGACCAATTGGCACTTGCTTGGAACAGATGGTGGTGGGCCTTCAGAGAGGCTGACTGTCTTCTATAAAAAGTTTTCTTATATAATGCTAAACCTTGAGTATCTTACAGATTTGGAAGGGCATCTGGAAGAACAGTAAAGAAACAGCAATTAAAGAGCTTATGTGAAGACATTCTGTGTGGGGGGAAGAGGCATGTCCAGAAGCCTTAAGGTTACTGGATGGAATCTTAGTAACAGAGGTAGATTGCCACCCTGTAAGTCACTGGTCATGGAGGCCCCTGAGGTCCTTTAAACCATAAGTGTTTTGCCACTGCTGTTGGTTGCATGCCAGAACTAGATGGCAAGTAGTTCTTGTTGTCGAAGACACCACACACTTTGGCTGTAGGACAGAGAGAAATGAGGATGGGGGCTGATGTGGAAACTTACTTCCTGCCCCATGCTTTTTTTTTTTTTTTTTTTTTTTTTTTTTTTTTTTGTGCCAGGTGTTACCCTGACTGCCAGGGAAGAATTGCTGACAGCCCTGCTGTTTTGACCCTGTATGCTGCACTACCTATGTCAGGTCCGATGTGGCTATGGTGCAATAATGACACAACTGTTAGAGGTGTGGCCAACTGCTTCCTTGGTGGATTTAAACCCTGCTGCACAGGACTCATATTTGGTACTGTTAGGACAAAGACATGTCCCAGAGAGACTCCTGGCTTCAAGGGGAAAGCTATTGCTGTTGTTAAATATATTAATATGTTAAATATGTTATTGTTGAATATGATATGCCTGTCAAATTGCCTTCTAGACTTTATGGTTATATCCATAGGTTTCTGTCTTAGTTATGGAGGAACATTTCTCTTTTTTTCTTTTTGGCAGTTGGCAGTGGTTACCATGGAGTCTCACAACCAGCTGTTACGAATAAGCGACAGTGCTGTGGCATAGTGGCCCAATGAAGGGGCAGAAAGTAACCACCTGTCCCGGTCCTGGTTAGTTTTTTTTTTTTGTAAACGTGACACAAGCTAGGGTCAAGTGGGAAGAGAAACCTCAACTGAGAAAACGCCTCCATCCAGATTGCCCACACACGAGACTGTAGGGCATTGTCTTAACTGCTAGTTGGTTGAGAAAGACCTAGCCCATTGTGGGTGGTGTCAATCCCAGGCCTTTGGTCTGAGCGGTATAGGAAAATGGGCTAAATAAACTGTGAGGATCAATCCAGTAAGTAGCGTGCTGCCATGGATTCTGCCTCAGTTCCTGCCTCCAGGTTCCTGTCTTGGCTTCCCTCAGTGATAGACTGTGACTTGAGAGTTATAAGATGAAATGGCGAGACCAAGTGTTCTAGGGCACTGCTTGACAAAGTCCCAGTGCCTGGATGCCTTGGATTGACCCTTTATCCTCTTGGTGGATATATCTTACTGTCAAGAGCCTCTCTCCAAAGGCTAGAGTTGGAATGATGTAACAAAAGCTGGTGTTAATAAAAAAAAAAATAAAACTAGTGGTAGTTCCCTAAGGGAAAAACAGCTATGCAGAAAAGTGAGTCTTCCATAGACCGTAATTAAATTTAGTGTTGGATTATTAATAAATGATATTTGTAAGCACGATGTAGAGGATTTGAGAAAAAAATTGTTAAAGAAGAAAAACTTAGGGAAAATCTGAAAGCTGACAAGCTGTAACTAAATCACTAGTTTTTCATGTTTAGCTTCAGAAACAAGGAACTAGTATGGACAGGAAGAGATTTTGATCATGCTGCTATTGACAGGCCTTGGTACTTTCCTGAAGACAAAGGAAGCACGTTTAGAAACCCTGATGTTCTAGCCCTTACAGGATTGTAATAAAGACAGAAATTGTGTTGAAACATGGGTTCATGACAAAGTCACAGAGACAAGCATTCTGGCTCAGTGAACTGCCTGCCTTCTTGAATAAACCTGTCAGGCCAGAACTTTTCTGATATTATAGAAAAACAGAAGGACAGACTGTCTTTAAGAAAAAATGGTTACATAATATTTTAAAAATCCAAGAAAAGGATGATGGTTTTATCTTAAATATATAAGAAACATAGAGGAAGGAAAGGAAGAATCAACTAAGGGTCAGAAATATCGAACTTTTGAAGGAGATAAGTGTGATGTAACAGGTGGAAGAAAATAATTTTAAATCTGTTACTTCCATGCCAACTTAAAACAGAATCAAACTCAAATAGAATCATCCTGTCTAGCATTTTTGTAACCGCAAGGCTTTCCAACACTAATCACAAGGAAGAAAACTTTGTGTTAAAAGAAAACTGGTTTTATCATAATGTTAATTTTTAGTTCTTATGACATTTGGTGTTTGCTTACTTTGTTTCTTTTGTTCCTATATACTTATGTAACCAAGGAAGACCTAGGCCTACGTAATCAATGATTAAAGTTTCTGAGGAAATGATTTTATGTATAAATAAAGCTCGCAAGGGACACAGGTTGTCAGAGCAGGTCAAGCCGTACTGAGACGTGCTTCCTCCCTGTCCCGTCTCTCATGAAAGGAAACTGAGTGGTCTGATCCTTCCATCCCTCGTCCCTCAGTCGCTCTTGCGTCCACCCTCCCTCAAGCCCTTCCCTCATCTGGGGCTGGACCCCAGCAATGAAATAAACCCTTCATCCCTAACTTACATTTGATCATGATGTTTTATTACAGTGATAGAATCCTTAACTAACACATCACCTGTCTATACCAGCCTGTCCGAAGTTCAGGGAACATCACTGAAGAGGAGGGTAAAGGAAAACAAACAAAAACATATAAGATCAGGGGTGGAGTATTATACACCTTTCCTCTGAATTGAAATACTTTTTTCCTGGAGACAGGAGGGAGGCCCATAAGACACAGGAAGCTAATGAGAGGACAGTTCATGAGGCCTACAAGGCACAAGAAGCCCACAGAGTCGTAGGACTCATGAAGTCCTTTCCAAGTATATACAAGTAGTCACCAGTTACCGGGGGAGGGGTGATATCTGGGATAGAGCTTCTCAGTGGAACTATCTGTGCACTGTGCTGAGAACATCAGTGATGTCTCTTTCATGCGTTATCAGCTATGGTAGGGGAGGATGATGCAGCCCCCTTCAAGTTACCTATGCACCAGTAAACCCATTGGTTCAACAATCTAGACTCAGGCGGAATAATTTCTTTGGTTTGTCATTGGTGCTCTATCTGTGTCGGATGGGCATTTGTTCACGTTTTCCAGGGAACCGTCCTGTAACACCAGGCTGAAGACCAAAGGTGTGACAGTCTTAGATGGATTCTTATCAAGCAGTCCAGGAAGCCTATGCCAACAATTTCTCGTACCTGTTTAATGATAGCACAGTGATAACAATAATAAAAACACCGAGACACTAGACTATACATCTTACATTAGAACTGGCTGATTTCTTACCCCAGTGGTTTTAGGACTGGGCAAAGAAGACAAAGGCTTTCCAGACCCTTCTCTCATCCACTCATCCCTTAGTGATCTCCCAGGAGAGAGCCAGATGACTTCCATTCCTTCCGTGGAAGGGAGAGCCTCCTTGGCTGAGTAACACTTCTGAGAATTGAGTCACTGGCCTGCCTTCACTCAGCGGACTTCCTGTCTTCCCAGAGCTCGGGAGAAGCAAGGGTGGCTGATCTAAGTCATCTGACTTCCTTCTGGGCACCGCTGCAATGTGTTTGTCTGCGTCCTTGGCTGCTTCAGGAAATACCAGGGTTGTGTTCACGGAGGATCTTTCCCTGTGTCTGACTTTGAAAAAAATCACACAGTGGGTAGGTCTGAGGGGGAAGCAGCTTTTGGATGTGTTGGACTGCAGCGTTACATCTCAGACTAGAATGTTAAAAAAAAAAGAAAAAGAAAAAGAAAGACAACAGCAAAGAGAAAGTTAGATGACTGGAAGTTGACAAAGTAGTGACAAGGTCAACATTATCTTCCTTAAGATCCTTTTTTTTTTTTTTTTTTTTTGGCCTCCTGTGCTCCCTTCCAGGGGCCAGGAAACTTCACAACCCTTTCTGCACTCTTAGCATCTTCTCCCCCAAAGGGCCCGGCAAGCTCATTCTGGTCATGAAGAATGATAAAGCTTGGAATCTCGGCCTTAATAGAGAGATCTCAGGCTGTCAGCTTGCTGGGAGGGAAATATATTTGGGATGTAAAAGGTCATCAGAGCTATTTAAGTCAAATCTAAGGATGGTGCGTGCCCTCAGGATAGACGGATTGAGGGAGCTCCTCCCACCACCACCGTCGTGGGACTGAAACACTCACCTTGCGCACATTGTAGATCCAGTCAAGATAGGCAGTGACCTTGGTATACACTCCAGGAGTACTGGGGCTCCCACAGCCATGGCCCCAGCTCACGATGCCTACTACCTGCCACTGGTCAGAGTGGTACATCAGAGGCCCACCACTGTCACCCTGTGAAGAGCCAGGACAGGAGCCACTGGGGAGGCAGGCTGCAATAAGGTGGCCTTCTCCCTCCTGTCCCTGACTTGGCCCATCCGTTCCCTGCCCTCTCCATGGCTCTGTGTGTGCTGGCTTCTCCACCTCCTTCTTGCTCATATTGGTCAGTGTTCTCTACTCTTGGGGGAGAAAATGGCCCATCTGTGGGCAAATAAATTGAGGGCAAACTGCTAGCCTAGCAAATTATATTAGCAAACTGTACTTGGTTTAGTCCAGTAGTTCCTACATCTATTGACTCATCAACAGAATGCCTGCTTCTGTTAGGTCCTGTTCTGGATAACGGGGATTCAATCAACTGGGGAGAACATCTATGCCCTTTGGAAGTTTACAATCAAGTAGGTTCACAGAGCCAATAAATGAGCTGATGACAAACATAAAATAGTGAAAAACGCTCTTACTGCCTCTCTCTGAAACCGCTAACACTGTGGTCTGATTGCCTGCTTGTATATCCTCTCTATGGCCACCATGAATTCCTGGAGGGCAGATACTGTCTCCAAATCTGTTATGTTTGTGGCACACAAGAGATGATTTAGAGACAGCTCTTGAATGAGGAGCTTTAACATCTGGAGATGGGAGTAGGCTGAGAAATTTGAATGAAAATGGTTCCAAAGATTCTCTGGAGGTCTGGGGTGGTAAGAAGGAACATAGGAGTTACTCAGATGTCCTGGTGGCCATGGAGATGGGAGAAGGGACACGTACCAAAGCTCACCTAACATGAGATGATCTTTTTAGTTAAGTATAGCAGTATAGGGACCACGACAGAGAACATAGACCTGGAGTCACTGTCGCCAAAGAGATCATAGATGATGGGAAGTGAGGATGGGTGGAGAAGGTAGCAATGCCATCTCTAAATGTGAAATATGTATTTAAATTCTTTCCGCTCATCTGTAGCCACTATCCACCCACCCCTCCTTCTTTTCAGGCCATGTCTCTGCCCTCCTTCATCACAAACAAATCGAGCGTGACAGGCTTCACGTGGGCATCCAGTGTGTAGGTTTTCACACCTCTCTAGGACCTACGACCCTACTGATGAACTCCCCGCAGTCGTTGGAGGACCCACCTGGCAGGTGTCCACACCACCATGTGGGGTACCTGCACACAGCATCTCAGCGGTCACTTCTCCCTGGTAGGCATCCTCTGCATTGCACCGCGTGCTGTCGATGACCTGGACTGACGCCTGCAGCAGCGTGTCAGACATCTTTCCTGGGAGGTTGAAAACGTATTTCCTCATTCTCACCTTTCCCCTCAGCCTGGATTACTTTTATGGGCCATCAATAGTTTCTGATGCCTGAAATTTTGGTGCCTGGTCAGGAAGGGTGGGCTTTTCTGAATCATGTTCCTCTTTCTTATTACGGCTGGGGAGAGTAATAAGACGGTCACACAAGGTGTCCAAGGTCCTGAGCCCAAGACTCACCTCCATCTTGCTCTGTAAAGCCCCATCCGATGACCCAGAGTGGTGTGTCTGGGACGAGCACCTCATCAGAGAAGGGCAGGCAGATGGGCTTGACTGTGTCTACCAGGAACAGAGAGGAAGAAGGAGATCCTGTATTTTGTGCTTTTACATGTTGGGGTTCTTAGTGGTCTAAGTGAGAGTAGGTTAGTTAATCCCTAGAGAGAACAAACCACTTGTCAGTGAGGCCCTTGGTATCTAAACAGATAAATCTGGAGCCCACACCCTTGGCCTTACCTTCACCTTACTCTCATGTGCCATCAATATTTTTTTCTGCCTAAATCACCCAGGCCTAGGTACTGAACAGCTAGGGATCAGTCCCTGCAGGCTAGACAATTATTCTAATTGTCCAGTTCAACCTCCCCACTGCTGTCTCTTGGAACCATACCACTTGGGCTGTCTTCCTCTCCCCCTTTCTGTCTTCTAACATATACACATCTCTCTCTCTCTTTCTCTCTCTCTCTCTCTCATACACACACACACACACACACACAGAGAGAGAGAGAGAGAGAGAGAGAGAGAGAGAGAAGAGAGAAGAGAGAGAAGAGAGAAGAGAGAATACCAGCACATGCTAGGTTCTTGGGCACTGGTCAGGGATGAGGAATTTAAAAAATTTTAAAAGGTCCTTGACAATTCCAAGATCGGATGACTTGGACTTTCCAAATGGAGTAAACAACAGACTTGGAAGAGTCTCTGCCGGGAAGGTATGAATGTAAGTTGACAGCTAGAGCAGTCTTGGGGCACCAGCAATTCTGAGATGACATATTAGTTGGATACCCATAGGCAAACTGAGGTCTTGAGTGGGAACATGATGTACCCAAAGTTGCTTAGTAGAGCCGGAGTAAGGTTAACCTGAAGGCTCTGTTCCCAGGGTCCACTTCTTACCTGTGAATGTGAGTGGCGCCTGCAGCTTAACGAGGGCAATGTCTTTCTTTTTAGGGTCCAGGGCATTGTGCTCAGTGACGAAGATCTTTGCCACAGGCAAGGATGGAAAGTTGTTCAGTTTGTCTGAGCCGGCCCTCACCTTCCAGCTGGACACATCAAGATACTTCCTAGGGATAGAAATGGCTAGATGAGGTGGGAGCCAGACACACAGAGGCTTTGCCTAAGGCTAGGTCTCCAGGTCTGCTGATGCCTTAGGAGGTCATGGGATGTGGTGACAGGAGGGGTAGAAAAGGCAGTCTGAAAGCCATTCTCCTGAAGCCAGGTTTTTAAAGGAGATCTGATTCTTTTTCTTCATGAAAAGTGCCCAAGGAAACTTCTTCCCAGAGGGTTTGGGAAGGGGGGTGCCCTATTCCTGGACCTTCAAATCCTGGCAGTCTCTCCTACATCCTGGTTTTTTTCTTTGCATTGTGATCCATTGAGTCATGAGCTTGTGTTCATGTCTCCACACCATGGGCCTTTCCCAGGAAGGGGCTTTAGCACTCTAGTCAGTCTCAAAATGGTGTAAAACTCTTGATCTGGGGAACCTTGAGGACAACGATAGAGTCTATATGATGCACACTATCTGTAGAGGGTTGGTTCTTGGTTCTCACTAGATGCTGAATGGAACGGATGAAGGAGAGTGAAGAAGCCTTGGGTGGATCCCTTTCCCAAGGCCTGGACAGCTCCCTCTCTGCTGGACTGAACGGTACTCTGTACATAGGCAGTGATGTAGGCAGTGACTCTAGACCCTGAGACCATCTGCCGAGGACTTGCAAGGAGGAGACAAGTTCTCGGGAGACCATGTGGGTGGAGAGAGCTTTTGTAGCATGAGTGGAATGGGTACTCTGTGGGGTGATGACCCTGGGTATCTGAAGTTTTTCACCCAACAGAGTTCAACCTTGGAGACCAGCACAGAGCCCCAATATTTAACAAGGACATTGTGGTCAGTGTCTCATTGTGGAGGATGTACCCCAGTGATGGTTTCTGGGAGAGACAGGGATGGGAGGGGGCACAATCAGGAAACAAGTCAGGGGGCTGGCTCCCTCCACAGCCTCTCTTCCCCCCGGCTTCCTCGTAGCGCTTACCTGAAGCAGTGGGCTGCCGTGAGGATCCAGTGGGGGTCCAGGATGCTCCCACCACAGACATGCTGCTTGTTGTATTGGATGCTGACCTGCCATGGCCACGAGTCCACAGAGGCTTCCACCCCTCCCACCACACGAGGAGACTTCAGGCTCTTTCCACAGCCTGGACTCAGGGGGAAGAGGAAGGAGGAGGAAGTTAGGTTTGGGGAGGTTTCCATCCCAGAAAGCCCGGGAGCGGGGCCCTCAGGAGTGGTTCTGGAAGGAGAGGGAGAGGCCACACACATCAGATCGGAATCATTCCTGGGTAGATAGCAGGTGTCCACTCGCTGTACTTTGTGTGTGTTTGGGAACTTAGATTGTTGAACACCGATGTGTTTATTGTGCTGGGAATTTATCATCTTCAAACCAAAACAAGTGTGCAGAGTCATTAGTTCTGAAAGCCCTGCCCAAAACAAACAGCCCCACTGTTACTCCCCACTGAGTAAACAGATAGTCACAAGCTACTTTGGTATCAGGAAATAAGAAGAAAATTCCAGGAACTGGGTTTCCTCCTGTTAAGGGAGGTTGCCCATTGGCCACCCTGTCTTCTGATCTATATTCACATCTGACCTTTGAACTTGAGTTAAAATCCTCAATGTCAGGGCTGGAGAGATGGCTCAGTGGATAAGGGACCTGAGTTTGGCTCCCAGCACCCACAACAGGCAGCTCACAACTGCTTGTAAGTCCAGCTCTAGGGGATCTGTCGTCCTCTACTGGTCTCTACAAGTACTGTATGCACACACACATACCCATAAAAATAATACGTCTAAAAAACCCAACCAGCCAACCCAAACCCCAAACCTCCAGTGCAATGTCTCGCCCTGTTCTGTGCCTCTCTAGTCCTGTGGACAGTTCCTGCCATGATGATCTTTACAATGGGGACACCCTCCCACCATCTTTCTCTCCCACCTGGCCACGTGCCTGCTAAACATTATCTGATCTGATCCTCCTCTTCACTTACACCTTTGCTCACACACTCAAACTTCTTGGTTGGCAAGATGGGGGAGGGGGTTTGCTGTCTAGACTCTTCTGGACTGCTTCACATGGCCTTTACATAAAACATCTGTCTAGCCAGTGACCTGCTTGGGAGTCTCTGGAACAGTTAGACTATGATTTGAGTGTGCCTCCATGAATGTGGAAGCTTAGTCTTGGGTGTGGTGATGACGAGGTGGTGGATCCTTTAAGAGGCAGGGTCTAGAGGTCATCAGAGTAGCTGCCCTTTGAGGGGGAAAAGGTAGTTTTCTATGATCCCCGAGTGCCTTCAAGAACTTAGGACAAAGAGCCCACTCTGGGTAGCTGTCTGGTTTCTTCCTCTACATCTCATCACGTGATCCAGCACCCAGTGTTGAACCAGCACTTGAGGCCAAACCAAGGTGGCTTTCTGGTCTTAGACGTCCAGGTTCTAAAACTGTAAGCTGAGCAAAACTCTTCTATACGACTTCATCCTGCCTCAGGAATTTCATTACAGTAATAAAAATCCAATACACTCAGGTCATGGGTTGCAGGCAGATGGCAGAAGGGAGTTCTTAGCATTAACCACTGGAAGGAACACTGATCTGTGAGCCCCAAGGTTAGCCCCCGACACTGGGAGTTAGAGACTAGGAGATAGAGCAAAGTGAAATTTTTCCTGTTCATTGCTGGTGTAGGTCCCAAACCCTCAGAGATGGGGTGCACTCACCGAGACAGCGCAGGGACACCAGGGAGCTTGAGGGGCAGGATCTGAAAGAGAGACACGGGGTCCTGTGGCTTCTGTGCCCCCCTTGACCGGAAGGCTGGAACTCAGCCTTTGTGAACTGCCGATTGGACCCTGTCCCCCAATACTGGGGAAGCCCAGAATCTTCCTCATGGGCCTTAGAACTGCACTAATACTTAGTGTGAATCAATCTGATTCAACACCCTCATCGCTGTGCATACACCTACCACGGATGGTGACCTACCCAGTACAAAGCCAGTCTGGGTTCCTGGCAGCCCGGGGGTGGGGGGAGGGGAGCAGACCCTGCCATGCAGAGGCCCTTCCAAACCCAAGATCAGGATTTTGATGGAATCATGCAGATAGTCATTCCACTACCAACCCTGTCCCTTACGAGATTTACTGTGATAAGCATCTGTCCAGCGTCCTGAATGCTAAGAAGCTAGCCTGCTCCTGGAGCCTTGGCTGCCTTGTGGCAGATTTTGCTTGGAATGAGCTGTGCTCCAATGTGGAGTGGTGAGGCCAGGGCTGGGGAGCCTTCTTTGGAGTATTAGAAGGTCCTGCTTTGGCCTGGGGGAAGTGATGGAAAAGAACAAAGCTATTTTGGGGGCTTGCCTAGCAGGCTCGTTAGAGAACACGAACCAGCTATGGAAGGGGAAGGTGTTAATCCTGACTATTCAGGGAGATAGGTCAGTGTTCATTCCTCTGCCTTTGAGAAAGAACAGTGCATGTTGTATTTTTTTTTTTTTAAGTCATCAGAGAATACCCTCTGAGCCTAAAAATGGGATTCCATAACCCTGGGCATTTAATGAGCTGCTTGGCTATTTCTTCCTGTTGTCTGGCTCATGTTCCCCTGGCTGCAGCCCGGAGCCACTTCCCAGCGTTGGTTAGCTTCTGTGGATCAGAACGTGTCCCTCACTTACCCACTTGAATTCTGCACCTGAAGCTCCTGGCCATTTCCTGTGACTTGAGTGACAGCAAGTTCCTGGGCTGGGCCAATCTCCACTGCTCTGTACATGGGTTGGCTGCGGCAGGGAGAGTGAGCCATGAGCTGGGGTAGAGGCTGAACTGGGAGGCAGAAAGAGCCCCTGTTCCCGGGGGACAGGGAGCATGGGTGGGCTAGGTTAGCGGGGCGGGGCTGGCTTTGCTGGATCTCAGGAACAGTGCCATATTAAGACAGAACTCAGCCTAAGACAGCCGTTGTGGCCTTGCTTTCTTCGACAGGGACCCCTGGTCCAGAAGCCAGAGCTCTGCAGAGGGTTAGGGGTCCACTTTCCTGTCACTCAGCTCTGTCCCTATCTCACGTGCCCCAGCAGCTCCTCAGGTTCACATCAGTGGGAGCAAAGAAGCAAACTCTTTGAACTCTTGTCTCAACACAGAGGAACTGGAATATGGATGTGTATCTGGTTTTCCAAATAAGGGACCCGGAGACAAAAGAAGCCTGGATCCGTTCTCATAGGGGTCCAGATGGAACTTCCTGAAATTTGGACGCCCCCCTTCCCTTCTGCTGATCCATGTTTGCCTTCCTTTAAAACCCTGGATTTAAATCTTCCTCCTCTAGGAAGCCTTCCCTAGCTACTCTGTTCTCTGGCTTTTTCTTCACCAAATTGGCATCTTCTAAATCTTTCCCTTCCTCTCCAATCTGTTCTCTCAGGTCAAGCTTTGCACTCATATGCTGGCTCTGACACCAGTTTGGTGTGTGACCATGGGCAAGTCATATTTCTCCCGTGGGTCTCTCTGAGTCCCGATTTCCTCTGTAAAATGATGTAGGAGCCAGGTGGTCCCTGCTGTCCTTCCTACGCTGGACCACCCAAGGCTTTGTGTTCTGGGATAAAAAAGGCTTCCTTCTGATCCAGGCAGGAAAGAAAGCAGGGAGATTTGAGCAGAGAGCTCCGACCCAGAGGGAGAGAGGATGCTGGCTGTAAACATCCTCAGGAAAGCTAACCTCTGCTCATCAAATGAAGCCTGATTAATGAACTTTGATACCATAAAGCCCAAGAGGCCAGTGCCTCAGTGCTTTCCAGAAGGGCAGAAATTCTGGGAGGCTACCACTTTAAGAACCTCAGGAAACCCCCAAGTTTCATAACTGAGACAGCCTGCTGTATCTGGTCCAGCTGACTCTGCAGTTGTCTGGACTGAAGTGGAGGAGGGGATGTCTGCAGGGAAGTGGGGCCAGCAGTACTGGGCATGCCTCCTGCTCTCCCATGAGGGTGACGGGGTGTCTGTTTCTAGAGGGTGGGAGTTGGGAAGAGAGCAGACCTTTATAACCAGAGGGCAGAGGGCACAGGGGCTGTATGGATTCATTCTGGCTGCCCAGAACATCTAAAAGACAAAACCTTGAGACTGCCCTAGAGGTCTATGGGAAGAACTCTGGGATGGATAGGCAATATCTGTCTAGTAGTCATCATTTCTGTCTTGTCTGTGGACTCAGGTTGTTGGAGTCCTGAGGAAGTTCAGCCTACCAGGGAGAGGTTGGTCCCTCTCTGCAGCAAAGCACTGGGTTCCTTTCCAGCCTCTGTAGGTAGGCTCCTGGAAGGATCAGTTCTCACTTTTCCCTACCATCATTGTTGAAGCCTTGTGAGTAGAGAGAATTCCCAATGAACAAACAGATGCCAGGAGAACTCGAGGTGCCCAGGGATCGGGTCATGGAGGTACAGATTCCAGCCCTCTGCCTCCCAGCTTCCACCTAGGCAAGCTGCTTGCTCTCTCAGAGCCTACTTGTAACATGGATTTAATAATAACCATGCTTTGAGCTTTCTGACAAGATCAAATGAATATAAATCTATGTAATGCTAATTACCCTCCGTGTACCTTCCATCCACTCCAGATTTGGACCTGTATCTGCAATTCACTGAGAGAGCTGGGACTCTGGTGATGGGCCCCAGCAGAATCAGGCTAGTCCTTGCTATTTTTGTTTTCAAGCGCTGCAAATGGAACCCAGGTCTTTGCATGTGCCAGGCAAGTGCTCTACCACTGAGCTACACCCCCAGTCTTCCCTTCTGCTAAATTTTAACCAAGATGAGTTTGCACATGTAAATTAGGCTTTGTGTTATGGCCAGAGAAGACTGCTTACAAAAGGAAAAAGAGAGATAGTTGGGGAGAAAAGGCTCCATCCTCCTCTTATGAGATTGGCATTGATAACTCCGGGGGAAACTGAGACTGGGGCATTAACCTTCATGCAACTTGTAAATGAAAGCGCTGGGATTCAAACACAGCTCTGTATGAATCCCATGCCTGTATTTTTGGGGAAAAGGGAGGAAGGGAGGTAAAGGAGAAAAACCAAAGGAAGGAAGGGAGGGAGTGGTTGAGGGAGGGAGGGAGGGAAACAGGAAAAAAGAAAGGACAGAAGGAAGGAAGGAAGGCAAGCAGACAGGAAGGAAAGAAGGAAGGAAGTCAGATAGACAAGGAAGGAAGGAAGGAAGGAAGGAAGGAAGGAAGGAAGGAAGGAAGGAAGGAAGGAAAGAAAGAAGGAAGGACAGAAGGTGGATGGGCAGAGAGGTTGCTGGTTTGAGGACAGCCTCCTATGGCCTTGGCTTAGTACCTGTCATAGCCCATCTGTCTGCAGGCTGTCTTGGCCAGTGCTTCTGTGAAATTGTCAAAACAGGCAGAGGACCAGGTCCCTGTGGCTGCATCCAGCACCTGCAGGGTGGATCGGTCCTTGGAGAGGCGGACTGGGAGGGGAGGAGCCTGGGTCAGCCGGAGGGTGGCTTTCTCTAGCCCCCACCTTCCACGCTGCCTCACCCAGAGCTGAGGACATGTTCAACATCAAGGGACATCCTTCCAGTTGACTAGAGCCTAATATGGACGGCAGCTAGCGGGGAACCCAACCAGCTGGTTAGAGAAAATTGACAGCCTCTCCTTTTGCTCATCTGGGCATCAGTTGTGATGATCAGTGACGTAATTGCTCTCCCATGGCCTGCTCAGCTTGTACAGTTTGGGGAGATGTTCCAGCCAGGGACCCGGTAGCTTCTCCATGGAAGGTCAGAGAGGGAGCTGGAGTGAAAACTTCTATTGGCATCAGGATGGCAAGTACCCATAGGTACTGGACTCTACTAATTAAGAGCCAATATACAGGAAATCACTCAGCCTTACCCCTCAAAGGGTCTTATTACCCATCTTCTGGGATAAGTGTTGTGGGTCAATCCAAGCTGGAAGATCCCTGTTTTTGTGCTTGAAACATTTATTCCTTCAGTGACCTCCCTGTGTCCTGTTCACTAGTATGTTACAGGAAACACCATGAATAGAAGGGCGGCCAGCTGGTTAAGTGACACGATAATCACATTTCTAGTCTCCTTGATATCAAAGAGGAACCCTCCAAGGTCATGTACTCTATTCCTTTTTGTTAAAAAAAAAAAAAAATTAGGCACAACCAGCATAGCATTGGCAAGACTCTCCGGTCCCTTCAGGGCCGTTAAACGCTTTCTGAGTGTGTGGCATGTCCAGTGCTGGGTTCTAAAGGTAGATGTGCCATGGCCCTGCTCTTGGGGACCTTTCCCAGCAGGGCTAGAAACTGCCAAGGAACTGGGGTGGAGAGCCCACCTGAGCAGACTCCTCCCACCGCTCCGGCCCTTCAGTCTCTGGACTCACCTGCCACTCCCGGCTTCTCGGGGAAGCTCTTGACACACTGTTCCTCGTCCTCCCCCGAGGCACAGTCAAGGTGGCCATCACACACCTGTCCCTTGGAGATGAAGGTCAGAGGACTTCCGCAGATGAAGTAGTATTTATCCAGAATCACCTTGACTGGAAGGCACATTAGGGAGGGACCGAGAGGGCTGGGGTCAAGCCAGAAGCTGGGGGGCAGAGAGAGGGTGCTGCTTCTGAAAGTCAGGCTGGCTGGGGGCTGGCAGCCAGTTTTAAAAAGAAATGATTTAGTGTGTGTGTGTGTGTGTGTGTGTGTGTGTTCCCAGAGGTCGGAGGACAACTTTTGGGAGTTGGTTCCAGGGGTTTTGTTACAGTAGTGAAAAGCCTTCTAACACAGACATATCAGGCTGAGCCAGCCATGATCGAGAAGTGGTTTGGGTTTTTTTTTTTTTTTTTTGTTGTTGTTGTTGTTTTTTACACCTCACAACCACCCTCGGCTGTCAAGGATCGAGGTGGTGTCTGAATTGTGCATATCTACCGTTACTGCGATGAGAACCTGCTCAGCCAGAGAACTGGGATCCTGTCCCAGCTTCGGTATCTGTTTGCCTCTCCTGGGCTCCTAGCCTCAGTGTCCAAGTGCGGAATGAAGTGCTTAAGCATAGGATCTCTGTGTGTCAGCCAGCGGGTGGTGTCTGCTACTAGTGCAAATGTCATCAAAGCTCTAAATACAGGTTCCCCAAAGGCGAGCCAGGCCCAGGTTGTACAGGCACTAGATGCCCTGGGTCCCAGCTCTGGCTGCTACACACTCTTGGTTTTCAATCCAGGTTCTTCAACACAAGGCATCTTACAACTGCTCATGATGCTTAAAAGGCATTTCATACTTGAGGGGCTCAGCAGACTCCTTCAGGGACACATAGGTTCCATGAGGATCCAAGAGCCTCATCCCTGACTCCTAAGCTTGTCTCCGGTGCTCAGTTCCCTGCCGGGTCAGTCCCTGCTGTAACTGTAGGAATCATTGTCACAGAGTGGGCTGCACATTAGGGCTAATGAAGACTGAGCTGGGGTGGGCAGAGGGTGCCACCCACCCGGCCACCTTCCCTGGTCCCTCCTCTCCCTTCGAGGTCTACAGTTGGAACTGCTCTCGAGCCTGCCAGACAGCAGGCTGCACACATCACCCCATGCGGCCTGCTCACCCTGCCCCTCCACCAGCTGTCAGTTTGCAGAAGACAGGAAGGAGGCGGCTGGCGGTGGGCACCTCTGCCACTGCCTGTGTGGGTTTGGAATGGGTGCCACGTGTATAGCAACCATCTGGAAGAGAAGCCATCTGGGAGAACGGGGAGGGGGTGAGGTGGGGGTGATGCGCTCACCTTCGCCTTTCACTTAGAAGGAGGCTCCCTCCAAAGCAGGGGTGGATACGTGGGGCATGAAGATTCATTCCCAGCACCCCCCCCCGGCTTTGTGCAGATCACCTGCCTGTGGCTGTGGGGGCTGGAGGACGGGAAAGGGCTGTGGCTTGCCGAGTGGATGGGGGGGTGAGAATGAGGACTTCCGGGGGCGGGTGGAGCGGGTGGGTACTGCCACATATGGGTGTGGAGCAGGGTGAAAGTTAGGTAGGGGCTGTAACTCACTGATGAAGGCCACAATCACGATGGCTACCAGGCTCAGCAGCACTGTGATGATGGGGATCCCCACCTTTCTGAAGGTCTCCAGGGGCCTTCGGGGCTTTCGGAAGGGAGTGACACCTGCAAGGAGAACAAGACAGAGGGAGGAGTGTGCAGATGGTGCTTGGGACCCGTCCCTGCCAAGGCCACAGTCCTCCACCCCTGACTTGTGTCAGCATGCCCTGGTGACAGTTTTGGTTGATCGATAAAGCTGAGCTTTATGATCATGTGTTTGCCCACCTGCCCTCCCTTGCCCAGATTTACCTCTTCTCAAATGAGCTGCCAGCCAGGGCCACCTCCCCTTGCCTTGCCCTAACCTGTACAAGAGCTGTGCCTGTACCTGTGTCTGGGAGCTTTCCAAACTTGTCAGGCGTGTACTTGGGAGCCTACTATAGTACATACGATATGTTACCATCTGTCCTGCCCCATTCTTGAATATATTTTTAATTTTTAATTAACACGTAATTGTATTTATGGGATATTGTGCAACATTTCAACACATTTATGTATTACATAATGATAAGGTTAGGGTAGTTACTATGTTTATCATGTAAGACATTGGTTTTTGTGCCTGTGTTGGGAACATCTGGAATTCCATCACTGGTTCTTCCAGAACGTCAGATGTCATCAAGCACAGTTACCCTCCAGTGCTATAGAACATTTGGCTTTCCTCCTCTTATCCAGTTGTTTCTCTGATAAAGTCTTTTCAAGGGCAGGAGATCAAGATCATGTAGGCCAGGCTAGCCTTGTGTTCTATCTGTAGACCAGGATGACCTTGAACTTCTGACTCTCCTGGTTCTGGGATTAGAAGCATGTACCACCACTGCTGGTTTCTGCAGTGTTGGGGGATGAAGGACTTTTTGTGTGTTAGGCAAGCCCTCTACTGAATGAGCCACACACCTAGTCCTCTGCCTTAATTTTTGCCTCCCTACACAGTGAAGGTGTAGCAGAAGTTTGATAAATACTTGTGAGTAGATGTATCATAATGGCTTTGTCTCCAAGGTAGTCCATCACACATTGAGTGCCCAGCATGGTCCTTGTCTTTAAGAAGAGAGTCTGGGGAAGAGACAAACAGGCCGAAAATGGCAGTCCACCAGGTGGAAGAGGTGTGTGCTGGAGTAGAGACAACCCCCGGGTGATGCTGGGAAGGCTTCCTGATAGGTTGGTATTTTGGGACAGGAAGAAACTGGGAGCAGAGGCTCTGGGTCAGTTCAGACCCAGTCATGGAGTGGGTGCTGTGAATGTCTAGTGTCCTGGAGTATAAGGTGGCTCCAAGCCTGTCAGGAGGCAGGACCACAGAGACCTTTTGTGGAGACTTGAAAACCACACCAGGTTCAACATCTGTCCTGACCACACTGGGGAGGCATTGAACGTTTTGAACAAGAGAGAGAGTATGTGATCACACTGTTATCTAGAAAGAGGATTCACTCATTATCATGGAGGAAGAGGGTTGAAATGAAAGGGTTTGGGACCAGGGAGTTTACATAGAGGCTATCATTGCCTGAAATTTGTAAAACACACACACACACACACACACACACACACACACACACACACACACAC